CCCGTTGTTTCTCCAGAATACGCCCAGCTGTTTGCAGCTCTTATAGCGAGAACAGCCAAAGATGTGGACGTTCTGATTGACTCTCTGCCCAGCGAGGAGTCCACAGCAGCTCTGCAGGTCAGCACGTTCTCACAGTGTCACAGCATCTGGTCAGAAAGTCTGACCTGCTGACGTTTTCACGTTTTTACATCTCAATATACAATATACAATCAAATTCACTAAAACCTCCACAACGCTGCTGACTCTGTAGCTGCTTTATAACAATAAATTTCATTCTTTACCACTAAATAACCTTGTTATTTAAAATTATATTTTGACCCTCTTGTGGGACTCCTAACCTTTCTTGCTTTAATCTCCAAGTTATGACTGGTATGTACATTCCACGCAGATGAACAGTTGTTGTTTTTTTGCACTTGAAGACGTGTCTACAGTCTCACTTCAAGCATAAAAAAAGCAAAGTGGTATGAGGGATTTCTGGGAACTGGTGTGAAAATTGTTTTCTTTATATCCGGCTTATAATAATGGAGGCGTTTCCTTCCTTCCACATTATCACTGTGGGACAGGAAATCTGCGTGCAGCTCAGCAGAAAAAAAGCACAAGGCAGCGGCTCTTATTGCTCACTCTTTGTCGCACACAATCATTTAAAAGATTAGCTGATTTATTTAGTTTCACCAGCAGATCTTCCCTACGGGGGTGGGGGGGATCTGTGCGAAAACCAGAAACTAATGCTGAAAACATTTGTTTCAATGTCTCAGTTCTGCATGTTTTACTCGTTTCTCTGCTCCAACACACCTGATTCATACCTCTTTAAGTTCTGCTGCAGTCTGTCAGTCAACCGTTCATTCAAATCAGGTGTTTTGGAGCAGAAAATAAAAACTCTCCAAAGCCTGCAGGATACTGGCCCTCGAGGACCTGGATTGGATGCTCCTTCATCTTTCAGTCAGCAGAGAGCGCCACTTGAACGTGTTCAATTCAAGCTTTTTATTCATTCTGGCTCACTCTGCTGGAGTTTATGGAGTATCTGAGCTTTAAATTTGAAATGCCTTGTGTTTTCTGTTTCTTTGGGAGGAAGTAAACTTTATTAATAAAACAAACGTGTCAGTACAGTACTTTGTAAAAACAATCATACATTGACTTTCTGTCATCTGGCGTCTAAAGCCTAAGCAAGGAGGATAAAGGTGCAGTATATGTACAAATTTAAACAATAAAAAATAAGGGTATATATTTTAACAAATAGGAGTGAGAAAAACAAATAAACTAATTTAAGAAGTAAGTTAAAACAAACTGAATATTTTAATAAGTAAAAAGCCTTATGAAAGTGAGGAGTACACGGAATAACATGTTTGTGCTTTATTGGTTCTCACTATGTTTAGGGATGTTTTTAAATATTTGAAGATCATTTACAAATGCTTTGAAGCTGAGTGAAACCTTTAGAATTCGAGCTTAATGGATGTAAAATTTAGCTAAACAGTGTTGCATTGCAACAAAGTTCTTATTTTAATGCACAAGTCTTTGGGCAGAAAAGGATTTCTAGCCATTTTGAAGTGGGGCTTATGTAGAAAGGTAAAAAACAGTGTTTTACCTGCGGTAAATAGCTGTTTGAACAACCATGTCTTAAATAAATTAAATTAAATTAAATTAGCTTGTCAACGGTCCAAGTAGGACCAGTTCTAAACCAACTCCAGTCTTTTAAATTGACCTTTTTATTTACTAACACGCACACAAAGTCGGTATGATACAATGCATTGTGGTCTACATATATACCTTTACAGTTTGTTGAAATCCACTCAGTCTAAACTGTTTATCTACAGACTTCTTGAGTAGGACGCTGGAGTCATTTCCCAGCGTATACATTACACACAGATGTTGTTGAACACAGATTATTTAACACTGATCACTGATAAAAATATCTTATTAGCATCACAGGCATGAAGTTATAATCAGAAGCAGCAATGAATCAGTTTTGTAGAGCGAGATAACATCCGTTTTCAAGAATCTAACGAAGAATTATTTCACAATGAATTTATCTGTATTCATCTTGCAGCAGGACAAAATGTCCAGCACTAACAGGACACAGGCTTCATTTTGCCCATTTGCCTTTGATTTTTGTTTTTAAACATCATATATTTAACACTTTGTTTTGATACTTCAATGACAGAGTATTAGGGCCACACAAGAAGATGTTTTTATTATTATTACGCGATTAAAGTCGTAATTTTAGGAGAATAAAGTCATAATATTACGAGATTAAAGTTGTAATATTATGAGATTAAAGTCATAATTTTAGGAGAATATAGTCATAATATTATGAGCATAAAGTCATAATATTACGAGAATAAAGTCATAATATTACGAGAATAAAGTCATAATATTACGAGAATAAAGGCGTAATATTACGAGAATAAAGTCATAATATTACGAGAATAAAGTCATAATATTATGAGATTAAAGTCGTAATACTACGAGAATAAAGTCATAATATTATGAGATTAAAGTCATAATTTTACGAGAATAAAGTCATAATATTATGAGATTAAAGTCGTAATACTACGAGATTAAAGTCGTAATTTTACGAGATAAATATTAGGAGAAAGAAGTCATAATCATGACGTGTCTATTTTCCGTTCCTCATTTCCTTCTAATTTTCCTCACACCTGCTGTACAGCCATGTGTGTGTGTTTATAAAGTAGTCTGTGATGACTTTGATCACTGTTAGATTAATATGATTTCATCCAAATTAACTACGTGACTAAATCTGTAAATGCATCCATTAATTACAACACAGCTTCAGTTTATAGTCGTTTGCACAATTTCCAAGTCCTGCTACTGACAATTTGATGCTAATGTGCTAAAAGATTATTTATTTTATGCAATACTAAAGAACAACTTGACAAGTTGCTCAACATTCCTCATTTTAATCCAGTAACTGCTTGCTTTTTCGTGTAAAGGCTGCAATAATATGACTTTTTTCTCGTAATATTGATTTTAACCTCGTAATATTATGACTTTATTCTCATAATATTATGACTTTTTCATACGACTTTAATGTCGTAATATTATGACTTTATTCTCGTAATTTAAAAAAAAATCTTGTGTGGCCCTAATAGTCCTTCGTAGTCCACAGACGTAGAGAAGGATATGTAATTCTCTTTGCGTTACGGGAATATGTTGTGACGCTGACAGAGGAAACAGCTGATTAATCATGTGAGGTAAATGTTCACTACGTCAGAACTTCCTGCTTCCCTTTTGCACATTGACGCTTTCCAGGAACCCGAAAACAACCTCAACTGTTTTTGCAAAATTGAATTTTTTTATTTTTATTTTGCCATTTCTGTCCACCTTTTCTAATGCGATACTTCAAAATGCACATAAAAAATATTGATGGAAACACAGCTAGTGTATCTACTACAGTGTGATATGGTGATGACCGGATGATATTGTATTATGTCCTGATCTGTATGTTGTATAACTTAGTGTTACCATTATTGTTATTCGTGTCATACTTCTGCTCATTCATGCATTTAAGCCTGAATGTTGAAATGCTTGCTGGTAACTGTGGCCGAGTGGGTGGGTGGCTCCAGCTCTCTCCAGACTTGCACAGTGTGAGATGCAGCTGAAGTGCACAGGAAGGCAGGAGGTGGTGGAGGAAGGATAATCCATCGAAATGACAAATCGCATAAAGAATTATGCACAGCTCACACACGGCCCTTCACTTTTGAGAGACACAACTGTGAGAGGCTTACTGCTCAAGACCTGGATGTTTTTCAAGGTAGAGAGCTTGAGTTTTCGATTTGGATCCAATCAGACTTGATCTACGTCGGCGGTGTGTCGGGCGGCAGGGAGGGCCGAGTGCAGAGAGGCGTGGGAGCCGTGTGCAGCCAATCTGAAATGTTGCTAAGGAACAGAGATGGTAGACAAGCTGAGGATGTGAATGTGATGTAGTGCTCTGCAAATCCCTGCTTCTCATGGTTTCTTTTTTTTCTCCTTCCTTCCCTCCCCTCAACCATCTCCTTCCTACTTTTCTCTTTTGCTCACTTTTATAGGTCCCCCTCCCCCGACGTCTACAGAGCTGCCGGGAGCCACTGACGGCAGGACCGACGGCCTGAACGTCCACAGCTGTAGAAAATGTCAACATGGCGGAGGTGAAATCCCTCTGACTCCTGTTTGCTGCTCACACCAGACTGACTCCAGGCCCTCTGGGATCATCTGAAGGCCTACGACGATGTCTTGGAGGCCTCCAGTCGTGGTAACTTTTTCACCAAACTGCTGATTGTGGCTAGTGCCGGTCAGGAATAAACCCAGCTCGTTTCTCCTCACATCTCCGACCCGCTTCACCCGCTGCCACAGCCTGACCCCTTTGTGTTGAACGAGTGCACGCCACTGTCAGCCACATGACTTTTACCTCCCAGTAGCATTGCTGAGCTCTACAAGGGGACCTGAGTATTGAACATGACTCATGGGGAGGAGCCTGGCCCTGAGACACACAAGGATTCAGCTGTTCTAACTTACCTGGAAGGTTTACTGATGCATCCAGTGGTGGCCGGGCCTGGGGCCGCGGCAGGCGGGCGGTCCGAGGCAGTCCGCAGCAATCACGAGCAGGGAAACAAGGTGGGCACTTCCTTCCCACTAGCAAACCACGGCCCAGCGGCACCCAAGGCTGGAAGCAATGGGCCCACGTTGGGGTCCTCGCAGCACCTGAAGAAGGCTCGCCTGCTGCGCTCCGGAGCCTGGACTGATCCAGGGAACCAGCGCATGAGTTCCACCCCAGTGGAACTGAACGGTCAAGCAGGGGGTCTGCAGAACGGCGCTCTGGAGGGGTCCGCTCAGGCGGGCGAGAGCACTCTGTTGGCCTCTCTGCTTCAGTCGTTCAGCTCACGGCTTCAGAGTGTGGCCATGTCCCAGCACTCTAACAACACCCCCGGCGAGTGTCCCTCGCCCTCCAAGGCTCCGGCAACCGACCGAGAGCCTCTTCCTGTTTACGGGAYGGCCTCGAGCCGCTTGAAAGGCCTCATGAGGAAGAGCAAACTCCAGAATCACAACAACACCCCTTACAGCCGGCGAGGACAGGGTCAGGACAGACCCCCCGAGTCCCCCCGCTCGGCACACAGCGCCACGCCTCCCGCTGCTTCCACCACGGCCGAATCCGTGTCCTGCGCTGAGCGGCTGAAAGCCGTGGCCAACATGGTGAAGATACGCTCTAGCCCCGCCCCCTCGCCCAAACCCAGCGTGGCCTGCAGTCAGCTGGCTCTGCTGTTGTCCAGCGAAGCCCACCTGCAACAGTACTCCAGAGAGCACGCCCTCAAAGCCCAGCTGTCAGGAAGATCTGCCAGTGAGAGACTAGCTGCCATGGCCAACCAGCAGCACGGCCCGGACAAAAGACCACCGAGTGTGGGGGGGGCTCCAGACACTGTGAACTCCTCAGCAGCTCAAAATGGAATGACAACAACCGCAGTAACAACACTCCCTGGAACAGCTGCTTCCAGTCCTCACAGCCCCTCTCTGCTGCCAGGTCACACCCACAGCTCCCCCCCCACCCCCTCCCACGCTCCAAACCAGCCTCCCAGAGAGAAGCGAGGCTTCGACACCCGTCCCGCTCGCCCCCCGCAGACGTGCAGCAGCTTGTTGCTGCTCCTGCTCAACAACCACAACAACCAGAAGCAGTTGACCAAGAACGGCCACCTGGAGGACATCAGTGACCTGCTGCCTCCCAGCGGCTCCTCCTCGGTCACGTCCGACAGCGAGTGCTCCACCCACGAGAGGAGYATCGCCAAGGACAACAGTGATGCTGAAAGTTCCTACTCCATCTGTTCTCCCATCGATCTGTCCATGAGAGGGCGTGGCAGCGTGCAGGACTTAAAGCCTCCGAATGCACCTCCTTCCTGTCTGTCTTCCAGCTCCACCCTCTCCTCTTCTCTGACTGCGTTCTCCTCCTCGGCCCCAGAGTTCTGTCACCAAGCCACCACTCAGTCTCTTTCACCGTCCTCTTTGACTGTGTCCTCTGCGTCCACGTCCACRTCCACCTGCTCAACATCATCCTCATCTTCCTTCTCCACCTCCTCCCTGGACAAGCTCACGCAGTCTTTAATAAACAAGTGGAAACCAGAGCCATCCAGACCCAGTGTCTCCACCAGCAGGGACCCTGAACTCAGTCCAGACCCTAAAGCCCAACCTAAGGTTACGCTCATGCAGCTTCTTCTTGAGCGTAAAAATAATGAGATGGCTAATAAWAGCAGTGGTAAACAGGAAGTACCCCTCGATGTGAGCATGGCCACCATGTCCCGGGGCCAGCAGAAGGGGCTGATGCCTTGGGAGGAGAGCAGAACAAGAAGTCCTGTAGAAAGGTGTGTAGGCCCACCGCAGTCCCTGTATCCTTTGAGCCGAGACCCCAGCAGTGCTCTGTCTCCGTATTCCTACCCCTCCCCCCATGTTCAGTCCAGCCCACTGGATTTGTGTAAGTCTAAACCCTTCCCTGCTGAGACGGCGTCAGAGCCGGCCTTTAGTGCCAGTAAACTGTTACAGAACCTGGCTCAGTGTGGCCCCGCCTCCTCGTCCTCCACGCCCTCTGGCAAAGCTCCGGCTCAGGAACTGGAAGCTAACCGGCCTCTTGCTCTGTTGGAGAGGCTGAATGCTCCGGTACACCGGACCACCACCACTCCACTGTCAGACGGGGCCTCCRGCAGCGGCACTCCTTTCAGCCGCAAGGAAGCCTCTCCTCCTTCCTCGCAGATCGAGAACCTTCTAGAGAGGCGCACTGTGCTGCAGCTCCTTCTAGGGACTGGTTCTGCCGGGACGACGTCCAGCCGCAAAGATCGGACCACCGAAAGTGACAGGCGGGGGACGGAGGTATCTGTGGGCTGCTACGAGAAAATCCCCTCCACCTCTGCCCTCTGTGACAGCTCTAACGGGCCCCTTCTGGATGTAAAGATCAAATCRGAGGTCTTGGAAGAGGTGGGACCGTTTTCCTTCAAGTCTGAGGATCTGAGCAGCAGAAAGAGGCTGAGTGCCTGCGAGAAGAGGAGCCCACCCTCGAACTCTCAGCAGGAGCTAAAATCCGAGCCCCGGCCGGCAGAGGTCATAGCTAAATATGGGCTCCTGAGCCAGCTGCTCAAACAACAGACCGCTACCTACTACAGCAGCAGCAGCGCTGCGCAGGCTGAGGCCCACCCTGCGCAGCCCAAGCCCCAGCCTGCACAGGCCGAGGCCCACCTTGCGCAGCCCAAGCCCCACCCTGCGCAGGCCGAGGCCCACCTTGCGCAGGTGAAAGAGGAGCAGAGGGAGTACCCCAGCCCTAAAAGGAGGCGTGTCTGCCCTGAACAAATGGATGCTGGCTCTCCTAACGCGGTGGACAACACACAAATGTCTGCGTCCTCCACTGCTCAGGTGGACTGTGATCARCAGAGGGGTCTGCAGGAGGAGGAGCCTCCACCCACTGAGCCCCTGAGCAGAGAGAGTCGTGGCTTCAACGTGCTGAAGCAGCTGCTGCTGTCTGACAACTGTCTGAAGGAGCTGTCCCAGCAGCAGCGGGGGGCGCCCAGCCCCACTGTGCTGCAGCGGGGGGTGCCCAGCCCCACCGTGCTGCAGGCCAACGGCAGCATCCTCGGTCAGGCCTCTCACAATCACGGCTTCCTCCATCTGCCCAGCTGGCCCCACCATGGCTCCTTCAACTCAGGGCTTCCAAGTCACCTAAGACCCCTGCCCACCCCTCCCCCAGGCGACAGCCCCGCCCGCACCCCCTGGCTCCGTCAGCCTGCCCCGTGGCCTGTGGCTCAAAGGCGCGAGCCCCCGACTCTGGTGAAGCAGGAGCCTCAGAGCCCCCTCCAGTGGAGCAGCCAGGAGAACACAGGCGAGGAGGAGGCCTGCGACTCGAACCCGGACTCCCCCCGCCTCTCGCGGTCCAACCCCATCCTGTACTACATGCTGCAGAAGGGCAGCGTCCACCTGAGGAAGGAGGCTCGGCCTCAGGAGGACGGGGGCCCGCCGGTGGTTCGCGTGAAGGAGGAGCAGACGAGCGAGCTGCAGGCGTACGAGCGCAGCCTGAACTGCAGCCCTCCATCCCCTCAGCATCATGACAAGCACAGCCATGACAAGCAGGGCCTGAGCCAGTCCTCCCACTGAGACCCCCCATGAAGAAAAATCACCTTTAGTTACTTTTGTTCTGAGAGGACTGTCAGATTAGATTGATGGACAAAGTGAGAGTATTTTTCATTAAAAAACAACTAAATGTATTTTAGAAATGAGGGCCTGAAGCGGTACAGAGTGTTGTGTTTGAAACTAAAATAAGAGAAGCGTCACGTTGTAGTCCTGCCATCTGGACTCATCTAGTTCTGTTCTCTCATTAGAACTGTCTTTGAGTTTCTTTCTGAATTGAACACATATCACTTTTCCCCGTGTCCTCTTTGTTGCCTCATAAAACATTTAGAGAGAACATTTCAAGCAACATTTATTATTGATGCGTCCAAAAAATGTTAGTTCTCAGTTCAGTAGACACCTCTTTGTTGTCTCCATCAGAACATTTTCACGTGAATTTTCGATAGATTCCAAATGAAGCTGTTCCGGGCGGTCACTGTGGTCTTCTCCAACRTGTTCGAGCAGGATCCTGCCTCCGCTCTTCGTCATGTCTCCCGGAGGCCTCGGGCTGTGGGAGACCTTGTTTCTTTTTGTTTGTCTGAACCTTTAAGGCCACGTTTGACAGTGCAGATTCAGGCTGGTGCAGTTTGGAGCAGGTGGGTCGACAGAAAGGGAAAATGGGTTTCTGGAGCAACAGTTGAAGGCTGCCTTGTTGCCATCCTAGATTTAAAAAAATCAGTTTATTCTTAAAGGCACAGTGTGTAGGATTTTGTCAATTCTTTTAGCCAAAATTGAGTTAATCACTAATGACAATAATAAAAACATGTCTAATCATTGCAGACAAAGACCTTGTTTTATTATTTTTATCTTATAAAAACCTGTTTATATCTCCATGGTCGCGGGTCGCCACTACAGGCAGCCGCCAT